TGAATAACCACTGTATTATTGGATGTAACCCTTGTGGCTATCCGGATCAGTATCTGGTGCCCACAATGAGCCACTCTCGCAACTGTCAGCAAGGATCTTATGTCCTTGCTCACAACTTACCACTTAGAAACTAATTGAGCTGTTCATGTGAGCATAGTAATCATAGTACTAGTACTAGGTTTCGTGGGGTACTAGGTTAATTTCGGGCTAGAATCTTAGTACTGTGGGATTGGTCGGTAGGTTACTAAGATGAGCATGGGAATTGACGTGTGCATGGGGTCAGAGAGGACCTTCTATTTCAACCTTCCAGAAGTACAGAAGGCTCTCCATGCAAATCGAACGAATTTACCTTATGATTGGAAGACATGTGCTGACTAGTAAGTACATTACTCTTTGCTATAATGAACATTGCCGTGCTACTCAATGAACATGTTGCCGCCCCTCTCTGATCTGCAATATAATTTTCGTATTGTCGTAGTTCTTTGTTGAAGTACAACCAGACAGATGGTGACGCCAATGTTGTCCCCCTGCTTAAGAAATTACTGCAACACAAAATTCCTCTCTGGATATACAGGTTTATTATATTTCACTTATTATATATAAATCTTTTTTACTCCTAACTTGAATAAAATTTTGTTTTTGGGAGCATCCTAAACCAAGTTACTCGTTGTTAACTTGATAACTATAAGGAGTTACATAAAGTTAAATTCCCCGTGAGAGCGGTCTTTGTTTGAGCCAACTAATTACAGACAAACTAGACTAGTTAATTATCTGATTCTCTTGTGATCTTCTGTTGATTAGAATCTATCACAAGACATGTTTTACCCTCGAATAGTGACTGTCAATTTCCTCTTTACTTAAAACTTTTCATGTTGAAACAGTGGAGATCAAGATTCAGTGGTGCCGCTAGTGGGGTCAAGAACGATAGTACGTGAGTTAGCGGCGGACATGAAAATGGGCATCACAGTGCCCTACAGTGCGTGGTTTCACAAGGGCCAAGTACGTAATTATTCTGGGCAAAACTTTTAATTGAAACGGGACACATTTTTCAGTTAAAAGGTTAATCGATGATATCGTGGAGTGTTTTGGGTGCATGGCAGGTGGGAGGGTGGCAGACAGAGTATGGAAACTTGTTGACATTTGCTACAGTGAGAGGGGCAGCTCACATGGTGCCATATGCACAGCCTGGAAGAGCTTTGCATCTCTTCAGTTCGTTCATCCGAGGAAGACGACTGCCTAACACTACTTCTATTCCCATTGATCAACAACAATATTATTATTAGTGTGCATGGCACTCTCAATCTCTATGTCTTCTAATTATATTTATGTGTATGTGATTGATATGATAACAATCAAAATCATTGTTATCCACCATCAATCAATTACTTTTTCCATAAATCTGGATCCGGTCGAGCTAACCACCTCTAATTCTAGAGTATCGTGTTGGAGGAATTTATCAGTTAATCTTATACTATCGAGTTGAATTTTATTTTAATTTGTGCCAAAAGTGACCCGCAGATCAGATATCTATAAAGGGCCTAGTCTAGTTAGTGGCTAGGAGAATTGTTGGGTGAAGGTCTAAAGGCCAAGTCCAGCATCTCGCGGCTTAAATATGTAGCGGTATAAAAAAAAAATAAAGTTACACATTTGTTATCAGCTATAACTTTTGACGTAATGGTAAGCGTTTGATCTTAACAAAACTAAAATTTTTGATTAAATTTGGATGACCAGTCACTACCTAATAATATACATTGCGTAATAGTTTGTAAACTATACAAAAAGATGGATTATATTATCATATTAGGATAACTTGTGTGACGGATTAGACCGAGGTGGGTGTTGACACTAGTAGTGTTTTTGACTAAATTATTTGTATATTGGTAGTGTGAATGTTTGATTATTGTGTTTGAATTTAATATGGTCCAAAATCCAACTGGCATGTGGTGATGAGTTATATTCAAAGTCATATGGAGACATCATTTCTATGAATATTTTCTTAATGAGATTAATTCAGCCTCTCTATATTCCTAGCTGGCCAAACACAGCTGCGGTTGGTATTTAATGATGTGTGTAAAACTAGAAGAAAATACATAAAATTGTACATCTATTAAAAGGAATTAGTGTTTATGTCACTATAGATCAGAGAGTTCGGGCAATTCTGATATTAGTTTTATATCAAGCAAGCTATGTAGAGAAATGCGATATGTGATCTTAGTTTTATGAATCATTTAATTAATGAAACATAATTAATTTAGAAAAACTTAAAGTTGATTTAATTAAAATAAATTAAAATTAAAAAGTATTTATGAATATAGTTTTATTCCAATTATTTTATTTTATTATTATGTTTCATATTTTGTTATAAATATTTTCATATTTTACCCACCCAAATATATTTTTGGCTCCGACCTTAAATATCATGTAATTTATAAAAAAATATTCTATTGTAATTATTTATAATGTATTTTATATATGATTGTTTGATATTTTGCAATTGACATTTCCAACGTCATTTCAATTTCATCTCACCCGAATAATTTTTTAAATCTGTCCATGCTGCTGATATGAGTACATGTTACAAAGTCAAAACTCTTCATAAGGTTGATACAAGGCGTGTTGATTCGATGATGCTGGAATATTATATATTAGTTACAAGTGGCATGTGGTGACAACTAGCAATTGAGTTTATGTAGCGTCTTTTGGTTGAATTGCCCAATATGGTCAATAAATCAAATAATGTTATAACGTGTGATAAAAAAGTTAGGGCTATTGGAAAGACATACATATGTCCCGAAAGTATCAATAACTTTTTTTTAGATTCTATGTTTAAAGAATGGATTTGATGTTCTTAGCCTTGAAGCATGCTTTTATAGAATCAACAACCGTTCAATAGTCAGACCTCTAATTCGTTCATTGGGTGGGCACGCGAGAACTCTTAGAAATTTTAGGTGAAAACTGTTTTTCTTTCTCTGACTAAAATATCTCTTTCTTATTCTCTTTAAGAAAAAGGGTAAGGCTATTTATATAGCCAGTTGGTTTGTTTTTTATTTTCTTGGATCATCATTGTTGTGATTTAGAGCCACGATTTCTTCATCAACGATCGAGTATTCGTCCATAGAAAGCAATCAATACTTTTTTATTTTTTCGCTTGTTCTTTTGAGTATAATATTACCTATATTTGGATGTTGGTGTATATGTACACATGTCTAAGTAGTACGGTTGTGCATTCAGGTGGGCTCGTGGTGCACCCCAGTGTTGTGAGTTGTGCAGCGTAGGCTGGTGAAATGTGCATTAGTGCAATTAGTGCGGTGCTTCGTATGACATTGGGATAACCATCGTAGGATTTTTTGACGGTTTTTGAATGCACAATCAGAGAATTATCGATGCACGACATTCGATATAGTAATACATGACATTCTGTATTAAAAGCACAACTTCTAATAAGACTGATTTACCCCTACCCGTATATTTTCTAATATTTTAAAGGGATTTATTTCTTAATCTGTGTTATTTGTTTCTTTTAATCTCAGTCGTGCATCAGTCTAATTTAATGATCTAGATTAATCCTCATGTTCTCACATTAAGGGCGGTTCTCATAAAGTGCCACCATATATATATATATATATATATATATATATATATAAACCTTCATTGGGAGAAGAAAAACACTTCATAGTTTCAAAAATGGAAATATGCATTTGTATATAAATTCAATTAATTGATAACGAAGGGTAACAACTAGCCCACGTACAGTTACATCAATGCATGACTTGATCTCGAAAAACCCATGTTGTGTACCATAAATACACATATAGGAGACCCGGCCTACTCATACACAAAATAATTATGCCTATATCCAATGACCTTGTAATTAGTGACATGAAGTAACACTCCTAAATGAAAGTTCATGGGTTCAATTTTAGTGAGAGCGAGTATTGACTCTTTGTGTTTTAATATGTATATAAACAGATATTACATTCTAACAGAATCAGTAATATTCAATAAAATTGTTATGCTTATATATATAGAAAGTTTTCTTATATAAAATTTTACTATAATAATAAATACGTGTTAAAATTTATTATATTTGAGAAATATTCAAAATCTTTAATGAGAGTATTAAAAAAGCATATATATATATACATAAAAGTAAGATATGTGTCATTTTAAAATGTTTCACGATAGGTATTACTTGAAAATCATAATAAGAATCAATTTTAATTTACTGGTGCAACTTGAATCAAATCCTTATCACTGTATTAATTTTATATGGTATGGATGTCAAGTGTTATACAAAATCAAAATTACAACACCAATATTTGCATATTAATCAATTGGTTGTTGGCACATCCCTTCACCCCATGCATAAATTAGCTTACTCCCAACATGCATAAAAATAAATAAATAAATAAGGCGTATGTCTCTCTCTTTATAGGGCCAAGTTCCAGTGCGACCAGGCCTTAACGTGCGATCAGTGCAGTTGCATCGTTAGGTATGCAAACACGCACTAATAGTGTTAGTAAATGCATCAATGCACAAAAAACGCACCATTAGGTACGCATCAGCACAAAACGCGCCATTAGGTATGCATAAACGCACAACACAGTGTTCAGAAACACATAATTAGATGTGGGGAGGTATGATAATTTTTTGGGTGTGTGGTGCATTGGTGCATTTCATTGTTGTACGTTTTCTAACACTATTGGTGCGTTTTTACATATCTAATGGTGCGGCCGCACCAACCGCACATTAAGGCATGACCTTTATATATATATATATATATATATGTGTGTGTGTGTGTGTGTGTGTGTGTGTGTGTGTGTGTTCGGAAATGATTTGGCACATACACTATGTTGTGTACAAAATTTTAACATGTATATGTTGTCTTTTGTGAACACCAATTTAATGATTTTTTAAAAAAGATAAAAAATAAAAGATGATAGAAAAACATTAAAATAATCACATATACATGTATATATCTACACAGCACAGCATACATGTGAATGTATAGCTCCCCTTCTTCCTTGTTCTTTCTTCAAATCACTTTCCATCTTTCTTCTTCTGTATATATAAGCTTCATCAGCTAGCAATCTCTCTCTCTCTCTCCCCCTCTCTCTCTCACACACATATATATATACTAGCAGCTATCTCCTCTATATTCAATCAAATTATAAACATTATTTCTCTAAAGAAACAGATATACATATATATTATCACAGATAAAATCTGCAACTAATTAATATGATAGCTATAGTGTTGGTTCTTACTATTTGGAGTCATCTGAGTGGGGTTTCACAAGGGCAGCTTAGCGTGAGTTTCTACGACGACAGTTGCCCTAACGTCGGAGCAATCGTCGGCGGCGTTATCCGCGACGTCGCCGCCTCCAACGCTAACATTGCTCCCGTCTTGCTCCGCCTCCATTTCCACGATTGCTTCGTTCAGGTTCAAATATACTTTTTTTATTTTTTCTCTTAGTGTTAAAATTTAATAGGGTTCTAAGGGTCACTACTCTTCGAGTGATGTTAAAATTGAACACTTTATGTGAAAATATGTTTCAATTTGTGATTTTTTTAAGGGGTGTGACGGGTCGATATTGGTTGATAATGGGGAGATTTCAGAGAGGCATGCATTCGGGCACCAAGGAGTGGGGGGATTTGAGGTGATAGAAAAAGCAAAGGCAGAAGTGGAGGCGGTTTGTCCAGGAATTGTTTCTTGTGCTGATATTGTAGCATTGGCAGCTAGAGAAGCTGTCGTTTTGGTACGTTATTAAAGTATTTAATTTCTTTTTTTTTTTTGAAAAAGTATTTAATTTCTTAATTAAGCTAAATTTTAAAAGAGTAATTTTAATTTGTCCTAATAATATATTACGTAGGCAAATGGACCGTCGTACGGGGTGGAAATGGGGAGAAGAGATGGAATGGTTTCCAATTTGTCACTGGCAGACGACATGCCAGACATTGATGATTCAATTCAAACTCTTAAAAACAAGTTTATCAATAAAGGCCTTTCCGAAAATGACCTTGTTGTCCTAAGTGGTATTCTCTCTCTCTCTCTTTCTTTCTCTCTCTCTCATGCAAATCTTGTGGGTTTAATTTAGAAGTGGTTGGACAAGGGATCTGAACAAGCTAGTAATCAACAAAGTCATGACTCATTAGTAGCTAGTAAGCTTAATTGCATTGTCAAATAACACTCATTTATGATTTTAAATTATAATAATCCTCGACATATAATTCAGTTGATTAATTAATTTAAAGAAGCTAATAATATAGTTTCGTTGCAGTGAATTGACTCAATTAATAACACAACATTTCAAGATAAGAACCAGTGAGAATTTCGAAATTCAAGCGTAATCTTTTGCTGAGCATGTGATCGAGATGATAGTTTGAGCAAATAGTGAAATAGGATCCCACATTCTCACCCATGTGATGATCATTAAAAAATGGGCCAAAGATAGATGTGTTACATTTTTGGTTTTTTATTTTTATTTTTGTTTTGTAACATTAATTTTGTTTGGGGTAGCAATATAATTATGAATATGGTTGCAAATTGTAGTCATACTTAATTGTTGATGTTGAACCAATGTCATAGTTGCCTTGGAGGCTACATTACCTTCGAAAATATATGCCTAATTTATGAATGCAAAACTTTAAGGTTTTTGTCGGTCACAATACTTTTTTATATCTTGCACAATCACATATATTTTTGAGTTATCCGATATCTATAATAACACAAGTTACATAATATTCTATATAATCTAAAAATATATATACTGAAAAAAAAATTCCAGCCAAATCGATAATTCAACCCCAGTAAAAGTGACATATTTCACCTTTTGACATTCTTAGTTTGATGAGGTGATTAATTCAGTCGAAATCTAAGCTGATTTACACCAAAGTCGAGTCCGTCAAACAAGATCTTACTTAGTCTATCAACATTTATTACTATATATATTCCGTATAGTAATATTTTTGGTTATAACTTATAACATTTCTTTTCTACATATGAATTTCATCAGCTGCACACACAATTGGAACCACGGCATGCTTCTTCATGACCAATCGCCTCTACAACTTCCCCGGCGTCGGGGGTTCCGACCCGTCGATAAGCCCCGAATTACTGCCGGAGCTAAAGGCGACGTGCCCGCAGAACGGCGACGTCAACGTCCGGTTACCGATCGACCACGGCAGCGGCCAAACGTTCGACAGCCAAATTCTGCAGAACATCAGGAGTGGGTTCGCAGTGTTGCAGTCCGATGCGAGGCTGTACGAGGATGACGTAACGAGGAACGCCGTGGATTCTTACTTCGGCGGTTTGCCGTTTCTCCGGCCGTCGTTCGAGGACGACTTCGCTGATGCCATGGTGAAAATGGGAAGAATTGGTGTTCTAAGTGGCTCCCAAGGGAAAATTAGGCGTTCATGTGCAGCTTTTAATTGATCAATTAATTATTTAATTATATTACATTATTATATGTACAAAACCAATTAAGCTTCATTCTCATGGTACATATATATATCATTATAATTTATAAAGGTGTGGCAATTGTGTATTGTGAAAAATAATTAATTTCACTTTTGGTCTCACGACTTTTGAGAGTCTATCACTTTTGGTACATAACTTTAACAATTTTTAGTTTTGGTCATTTCGGTCAAATTGACGATGAAATATTGTCAGATTTTATATTTGTAGAGGTAAAATCGTCATCCCGAGGGATAGATGGCGACCGATAGTTGCTGGTCACCGGATTTTCACAGGATATGATGTTTGAACTAAAATGACCGATAATAGCATGTCATTTATCAATTTTTGGGCTTCATTACCTCAATTAACATGTTAAAGCGTGTAATTGTATTTTTTAAAAGTTTAAAGATCTAATTGACTTTTCAAGTAAAGTTTAGGAACTTAATTAACCATTTTCCTATTAGTAAATTATACCTTTTGGTGTAGTGATTTGGACAAATTAAAAAGTAAATATTTTATCCGAGTTTAAATATAAATAGTCTAAATCACTTTTATTGATCCTTCGGGAAAACATATGTTTTTCCCCATGTATGGAAATCATAAAATTGAGGAAAAAAATAACAAGAAAAATAAATACATGGAACTAAAAAAGAGGATGAAAGAAAAGGAAAAATGACCTGGAAAATATATAGTACAGTTGTATATATCCAAAAGAGTAGTCAAGACTGGAGGATTATTGAATGCAACTCGTGAATTTAACTTTGTTGTTTACCCAAAATTTATTACCCTGAATTTTATGACATTATTAATATTCATGCATTGGAATTGGTTGAGGGCCTGAGGCTGAGTTGTAGAGTTGTCACTTTCTTTTTAGTACATTGACTATGAATTAATGCATAAAATATTGCTCAGTATTTTATTTTTTTATGACGAAAGAAACTGCACTCATTGCTTATAAATTTTTTAGAAGAGGTAAATCGCACTAGGAATTGAAGATCTTATATGATCGACTCGATCGAGAAAGTATTGATAAAAATTGAACTTGTAATCATTTAATACAAAAATTATGCTTCATCCACTCGATTATTCTTTTTGAAATATGAAATACTATTTCCACAACATAGTGGAGTGGACTTAAAAAGATGGGAAAGGGGTCAAACTATGAGTAAATGATTAAGATTACGATTTGATTTGAGCCACAATTAAAATTGTGTTTTAAAAATTTAAAAATAATATGTATATAAATATAGTTATTTACAAGTTGTGTATGTGATTGAAGATGCATTACTTTTTATTTTGGAGATACTAAATTTTTACACATGACAAAAAAATTTGTAACTCCGACCACCTTAAAAGTAATTAAAAATAGCATTTTCAACAAATGTTAGGGATCTAGAAAATCCTTCAAATGTCTGGTTCAAAACTTGACAACTCTTGCTCATAATATAATTTGTATAAACAAACAGTAGATATATTATAATCATTTCCATATCTGTTAAATTTATTTTGGGTTAAATTAAACCTAATGGTCTAGAAAATTAGAGCGTAGAAGCCTTTTGACTTCAATTCTCCATTCAACCTCCGTTTTGTTCGTGCAACGAGGGATCGGAGGAGATCGAAGGGTCAACCACACCAGTCAATAGAAAAACATGCATATAATGACAGAAAAAAGCACAAAATTAAAACAAAAACAAAAGATTGACAGACAATAATTAAGGATCTGATAATTCAAGAGGAGAAGAAAGAGCAGAGGATTCACCATTTTCTTCTCTTCTTCTCCTTCAACACTCTGTATGCATGCATATTAGAATCTCATGCATGCATGAATTCACAGAAAAAGAATATATAGATCAGAGCATTTTCATTTTTCTCTTGAATTCTCAGCCTGCTACTGCCAATCTGCCATTAGTTATTGTTATGGATTAATATTGAATTATTGATTGTATAGAAATAATTAAGCAGAGGATTATATTATATATATAATATAATGGCTCCGAGTAAACTCAGGAAAGCCATAGGGGCTGTGAAGGACCAGACCAGCATAAGCCTGGCCAAAGTTAGCGGCAGCGCCTCCATCTCCGACCTCGAGGTGGCGATCGTCAAGGCCACCCGCCACGAAGAATACCCGCCGGAGGAGAGGCACATCCGGGAGATTCTCTGCCTGACGTTATACTCGCGCGCCTACGTGGGCGCGTGCGTGGTCACCATCTCCCGGCGGCTTAGCAAGACCAAGAACTGGGTGGTGGCGCTGAAGTCGCTGATGTTGGTCCACCGGCTGCTCGCCAACGGCGGCGAGCAGTCTTACGAGCAGGAGATCTTCTTCGCCACCCGGCGCGGCACCCGCCTCCTCAACATGTCGGATTTCCGCGACTCCCGCTCCAATTTCTGGGACTATTCCGCGTTTGTGCGGACCTACTCGCTCTACCTCGACGAACAGGTGGAGCTGAGGATGCAAAACCGCCGTGGAAAACACAGCGCATTAGCGTCTGGCAATGAAGAAGGAGTCGAAGAGGAAGACGAGGAGGAGGAAACTGGCAACACTACTGCCATTGTTGTGACAGGCACTCCGATTACAGAAATGAAGAACGAGTACTTGTATTCAAGAATCCAGCATTACATACAGATCCTTGACCGATTCTTAGCTTGCAAACCAACAGGTTCCCTTCAATGGCTTCTCTCCTTGGATCTTTATATCTATACTTTCATTTTCCTGCAATTAAAATAGTAAATTATATGAGAGCAGGGGCAGCAAAGAGGAACAGGCTTGTGCTTGTGGCACTGTATCAAGTAGTGAAGGAAAGCTTCCAAGTATACTATTCAATTGCAGAAATGTTGGGCATTTTGGTGGATCGATTCATGAAGCTTGATATTCCCGACTCCAAAAAAGTTCATGAGATTTTCCACCGCGTCGCCAAGCAATGGGATGAGCTCGAGGTGTTCTACACCTGGAGCAAAGCTGCGGGGATTTCGCGGTTGTCGGAATACCCGGATGTGGAGAATTATCCCAAGCAGAAACTGGACATCATGGAGGAAATTATCCGGGAGAAAATGGAAATGGCGGGAGGGAGAATAATGAGGAGCCGAGAACCGTCACCTGAGGTGGAGGAAGTGGAGGAGCCGGAGCCGGAGGCGGAAGCGGAAGAGGACATGAATACGATAAAAGCGCTGCCGCCGCCACCGGAGGATTTTATCGAAGAAATGGCGGTGGTGGAGGCGCCAACGGAGGAGAAGAAGGAGCAAGATATAGGAGATCTGTTGAACTTGGGCGAGGATGCACCCACACCGGAAGAGCATGCAAATCAGTTAGCCTTAGCCTTGTTCGACGGTATTCCGACAATTGACCCTACAAAAACAACCATCACAACTCCATGGGAAGCCTTCAATGGATCCGAGGATTGGGAAACCGCCCTTGTCCAAACCGCCAGTCATCTCTCAAACCAAAAGGCACAATTTCCCGGCAACTTCGATGAATTAATGCTCGACGGAATGTATCGACAGGGAGCGCTAAACCAGGCCGTGGCCTCCTCCGGCGTTTTGACAACAGGCAGTGCTACTAGTGTTGCGTTCGGGTCAGCCGGGAGGCCGGCAATGCTGGCACTACCGGCACCTCCCTCCTCCGCAGATGCCAACACAACAGCATCAGGAGCGGACCCTTTTGCCGCCTCGCTTTCAGTAGCACCGCCGGCATATGTGCAGATGTCAGAGTTGGAGAAGAAACAGAGACTGCTATGGGAAGAGCAGCAAATGTGGCAGCAATATACAAAAGATGGAATGCATGGGCAAGTAGGATTGGAAAAAGCTCAACAAAGCAGTCAACCTCATAATTATTATGGTTACTAGTACTCCTGCCTGTAGGTAATATTTTTGTCCTGAAAGTTCTCTCTAGTTTTTTTCTTTTTTCTATTTCGAAGAAGCTAAGGCCTAAGAGTATAGTATATAAAGACATTCAGTGTGTTTGAGCATATAACCATTAATGTGCAATCCAACTATAAGCTTAGGCTTTTAGTTGAGATGGAGCACATGCTTTAATTTGGTATCAGAGTCATGCCAAAGGTCATGAGTTCAAATGTTTAAGCAAATATTTGGATGCAGAGCATAAACCATAAAGAAAACACCCACAAAAGCTCCACTAATGAGAACATAGCCTATGATACATCAAAAACACTGACCTGGATTCCTTGAATGTAACTAAGAACATGAACTCCCCCACTGTTATTTATTTTGTTTCTACACATTTAGGACAAGACCAAATGAAATAAACATGCAAGGAAAGCAAACTGATCATGTTTATAAAGAAAGATTTTCCAACTTCGACTTCACATCTGCCTGTTTCTTTATGGACACCCCCAACTGCATTCCCACCGTTACTAATGTCTCAAGAGATCGTGCACTATTTTCCAAGAGGTCCTCATCTATCCTTATCGAGTCCTGCATTCACATAAAAAGGTCTCCAAAATGAATGCCTAATTGCCTATATAAAAGCATATGGGCACTTCAACCATTTTTAATGAAGTAGGATGATACTTATAATGTGACTGTTGATTGAAAAACTCGTTGTGCCAGGGAGGGAATGGCACTGAATGCATCAACAAGATAATAATACACGAAGAATAATAGCACTGGTTGCACATTTTCAAGACAGCCACGAAGAATACAAGTCTTCAACTCAATCAGATGTTAGTGCACTTACCTTTTCGAAGACGCAAATCACTGTACTTCCACCAAAAGAGAAATACCCAAACTGCAAATCAATAGACGAAGAGGAAACGTAAACCGGACTGCAACAATTGAAAAAGGAATAGCCAAAAGCTTATGTCATCGATCACAAACCTCGTCACCCTTGTTGACATAGTCACGCTCCTTCTTCGAAAAAGTAATGCTGCCAACCATTGTTGCTCCAATTGCAACAAAGGCCACCTACATTTAGAAATGCAAAGCTAGTTGGTATAAAGACATCTGAGCCACCCATCATCATCAGAAGCAATGGCAAGCAACAAGGAAGACACTAATCTTCTAAACAACGGGAAGCCATCCATTTTATTCTTTGAGAGATGAAAGGAACATAATTGTAAATTTATGTCATACTTTCAAAATGTCAAACCTTTCCAAAGTCTTCTGTTGATATTATTGACACAGCCCTCTTATTCTCTGTGAAGACATTACAATACTTGCTATTCACAGCAATAGGATTTACCTAGAAGGTAAAACACACGCAGCAATTAGGATGGCTGAAAATAGTTAAAGACAGAAGCAGCCATTAAGCTCTACCAATATGATTCAGAGCCAAAGAATAGTTTACGTACAGTATATAAACATCCAGGTATGTCTATAAATTTCTCAATAGTTCCAGAGACAGGAAGATGGAAACGATGGTAATCCTGGAATGATTTAAATATAAATGTACTGTTAAGCAAAGTCGGAGTCTAGTGGCAAGAAATTACTTAGCACTAAAAAAATAAAGAAACCTAAAAATAAAGAAACCTTAAACTACCTGGGGTGCCAGCCTAAATATCACCAAACTTCCATCAACGAATGCACTGGAGCATGCTTCATCCCCCAAAAGGCCTTGGATGGAAAATTTTCGGCCCTGAGGTAGTGTGTCATATTCTTAAGGTTAATAATTTCTGAAAATAATTTTTTTAAAATAAAAAGTAGTATATACCTTAATCCAAAATCTTGCAGCATCAGTAACATTGTTGAATGCCATAGTGCGGCTATCAGCTGCACAGACAGCGATATCATTGCGTTCTGGGCAGGCAATTGGTCTTGCACCAGACTTCAGCTCTCTTATAAAAAAATCATTGAATGTCTGCCAAGAAACGTGAAAGTAAAAAAAAAAAAAAAATGCATTGAGAATAAAAAACCTATATAAGGACAGATTGGCCAAACCTTTTTAAGTGAAATTTTAAACGGATAGTAGTAGGATGCCTCCTTGGGGAAGATGCTAATGGGGCAGATTAAGAGGATTTAAACTCTTAATCTTAGGTCTACAAGAGCTCAAATATGCTTTAGGAAAATGAATCTTATAACATTAAAAACTATGTTAACATATCATTTCTTTTATAATACTTGTAAAGATACAATAAAATATAAATATATCTCATTATTTGTTCATAAATATTGCACTGTGCCCAAATTGTGGCCAGTTAACCTCAAAGGCAATTAGGTAGAGATGACCACGGTTCCGGTTCGAACTGTAGGTTCGAACCGGAACCGTGACTGTGCGAACCGGAACCGAACCGGAACCGTCCGTACGGTTCCGGTTCCGGTTAAGGTTTGTAAAATCTTGGAACCGGAACCGGAATCGCCGGTTCTGAACCGGAAACCGGAACCTTATTATAAGGTTCCGGTTCCGGTTTCGCCATCCACGGAACCGGAACCGGAACCGTGGTCACCCCTACAATTAGGTTCCCAACTCCCCACCCACTAGTTTTTCATTCAATCTGTTACTAAGTGCATGTGGAAATCAAAAATCAAGAACTGACCAACTAAGTGCTGTTAAATGAAATTCCAGGTAGTCCAAAAGTCACATCCCACCTTAAAATGATCCAGTGGGTACTTGGCTTCATGCACGTCGAGTTGATCCTACAACAGTTAGAGATAATCAGAACAGAAGAAGGAATTCTGCCAAACTGTCAGAGTGGAAAGACTGAAAATCAGTCATTTATCGAAATACAGAAACAAATTATTAGAACAGATATTCTTGCACATAGCAGACATACTCTTAAAAAGACGAGCAATACTGGAATTTTAGTGCAAGGGGTGCTTTTCAGTTTTTTAATAGATTAGAGTTGAGGCTAGTTAAAAACTAATGGAAGAATGAGCATTTTTGTACCCATCACCAATTCTAGAGGGAATGAGGCACTAAGATATTTTCTAGTATATCCAATTTTTTGATAGTATCTTTCTGTGAATCCCAGGAATTCTACACATTAGCTGGGAGGTGTGGACATGCAGCAGAAGCTAGCACTTATAATTTCTATGTAAAATGATTGATAATAGAAAAGAAAGAGCACGCAAGAGAAACATGGACCTGAATGAGAAGGATACCTTAAAAAATTCAACAAATTTTGGTATATCTTTAGCAGAATCAAGGGTATCCATTTTTTTGCCCTGCTTTTCAGAGATGCTCTGCAGGATTTCTTTTGCCCCTGCATCAAGATTTATCATGCAAAAGATCTATTAGTTGATAATTGATATTGTCAGTGAAAACTCCTCCAGTGATAGATAGAAGCCGATAGTAATATCAAACAAGATCACTGTAGTAAACAGCAAAAACCATACCAGTATCCATAAGACCAAGCCCAAATTTAGATTGATAAATGGCTCTCATTGATAAAACAATCTTGGGATCAATTATTTCCTCCACTAACCTCTTCTTTCTTCGATCATATACCTGATCACAAAACAAATCCAATTAGAGATTTTTCATGTGGCACCTAGACAACTTCATTAACTGTAGCTCACTTGAAAAAATCTTATAGTCAATTCTTCAAGCCAAGAAAAGGAAATGTGAACAAATCGTAAAGGCCAAACAAGATTCAGAAGCAGGAAATTTTTCATCATCAATGTTGTTACATTTTCTACCATAATAGTCAATAAAAGCATTTTTCTCTCTGCATACATATGCAGTTCATATAGAACCACAAAGAAAGTGTTGGTTCTGCTGGGGAATGAGACAGAAACAGAGAGCACGTACCAATATATGTGATGCACTTGAACCAGACCTCAAACCAACCTCATATGTTGAGAAATGTGCCCATTCACTCAGTTTGAACATCCATCTTAAAAAAAAATTAAAAAAAAAAATAAAAAAAAAATTCATGTAGTGTTAAAACCTAAAAACCAAGAATATTTAGGGAATGGTGTTACATTATAAAAATAAGCAACAGCAATAGAGTTCTCAATGAGCGAAGTAATTTAGTTCTCACCCACTGGAAGCTTGCTTATCAGTGAGGAATCCTCCCGTCATTATTTGGTTCCCAGTTCCCTCATCAAAACACAAGGTCAAATGAATCATACCGTTCAAACTATCAGAATCTTCAAGAACCTCGCCACAAACTGGGCAGCAGTTCATCAATGCCTCCCTACAAGGAAAAGAGCACAAGTACAAAATTCATTAAGCAAGAAATAAAACTTCCAAAAACAGGATTCATATTTTTCAGAATAGGACAGATTATGCCAAGAAAGACTGACCAGATTAGGCCAGTACAATCCATGACCTACTTTCTATGTTGCCATAGAAGTAGTTTTAAAAGCACTCTAAGTTCAAAATTCTGTAGAAGTTTTGAAATCCTTCTCTATCTTAATCTTATAAAATATGCAAGGTAGTAGTAGCATAAAATACCCCAAGATTACAAAATTTTGCCCTTACTTTCCTTGATGTGCAGTCAAAAGCATAGCCAACTCATCCAAGCTGACTACACCATCTCCATTCTTGTCAGCCTGTCTAAATAGCTCCTCTTTCTGATATGCGTATATATAAGAGAAGAATGAATTTTAGTTGTGTGGTATTTAATTTTGAATTTTAGAGCACTGCATCCCTGCATATGTTTACTGACAAAGCTTATTAAAGCTACACAGATAATAGTCAAATATAAACCTTTTCAACAGCCAATTGATTGCCGAATGCATCAATTAAATCAGAGAACTCAGCCAGTGAAAGCTCTCCATCTTCATTATAATCCTGAAGGAAGCAATAAGCCAGAAGCCCAGAAGTTTCAGAAAGAGCTCTGTAGTATCCATAATCTTGTAGTAGTAGGTCAAAGCATGCAGTGCCAGATAAATATTAGCTAAATCCTCCATCATTTAAGCATATCACAGTGGACTAAAAATTCCATATCTATATTAAGCATATTTAATGCAAACAAATGAAGCAAAAAGTTCACATAAGCTTTTATGGGGGTCTAGCAGCATAAGCCAGGTAATGACGTACCACTATAGACAAGATGCGCTTTGTAAAACTTTGCTCTGTTTCAACTGGATCCTGCCAATTGTTTAATATGGATTAGAATGTTACAGAGGGAAAAAAAAAAATGGTTAGAACGGCATTCTCCACACCCAAAACAAAGAAAGTGGTTACTCTTGAATTACACACCTCAATAGAACATGAAATAGATATACTGCCAACGACTATGGATGGTGATGATGGGTCCAACAAGTCAAAAGCCTCAACATCAGAATCAGAGTCCTGCAAGAGAAGTTCTTTAGTGCAAGGAATGGCAGATAAAGAACTGCCAAAAAACGTCCCAAGAATACATAAGAAAGCTAAAAGCACATATAATAACACGGTCCATTATTGCACTAATTAAAAACCAAATAACACCAAACTCTCACCAATCCTTCACCCCTACCATAAACGGGGGAAGGAGGGTTTGGGGGTGAGGAAGATATAAAGGCTAAGACAAGGAAAAGATTATATTTAAAAAACTGTACACTGTAGCCAAATAGTACTATTTTTTTCCCCTTTTGTTCCAGTAATAAACATACAAATTACATTTAATAGTTACCTAGTGTGGTACAACTCACCTGGGAGAGGTATTCAAGTAGATCAATCTCACAATGACCAACCAAATTGTTCTTGGATAATTTATTAGTCTGTATCACATAGAAAATCAATCAGCAATTCAGCAGACTATAATACATAAAGATCTTCTCTCTTTTCATATTTCCTCTTTTTCTGTGTTTATAATTAATTACAAGATACATCTTGGCACTTCTAAAGTACCAAAGGAAATGTAGATGATCACAAATAAATAGCTTCTACTCAATGACTTTGAGTAACATATAGGAAAAATGGAAATTCAATTTTTAGGTGCACAGTGAGTGGGCCTAAATGGCCAAAAACTGATAAATGCACAAATATCATGCTTTCTACTAATTCACAATCAAATAAACAATGGTCGAGTCAACCTATATAAGTACACACCTCAAACACAGAAATTCTTGCAATATGTGCCCCATTTCTTTCTAAAAGAAGCTTCCTCACCTGCAAGGAATGTCTAAAATAATGAATACAAAAGTGAATCAAAGAAACACATGATTTGAACTGAATTAAATAGAGAAGATTGTGAAAACTCACAAGCATCCCTAAAAAAATTCAGTTGATCAAGTATAGAAATGTACTCCGTAATTACTTACCGAGTTCCAGGTAGGCTTGTCAGTGCTGCATATCCAACAGAATACAACATATAAGTATGTGCAAGGACAAATGAAACAGAAAACAAAGTTTTTACAGCTTCCCTCACATTATACAAGCAAGAAATGTTCAAAGTTTAAGATATGTCTTTAAACTTAAATTGTCTATTGGGAATGCAACTAACAGAACAGCAGAGTAGGAAAACATAACAGACAACAGTATTCTCCTGATGAAAAATTTACAAGCAAAATTAAGGTCAAACAAATGCATTTCAAAGTCTCCATTACATTATTCTCAAATCAACACTTGTTGCAACTCAATTCAGCTGAAGTGACAATTTCAGATGAAATGCCATTGATTTAATAAACCACAACTGTGCTATAGACTAAAGCTTTAAGCTCTGGCAAATTTAAATTCAAATTCGCGGCTGTTATACTGGAAGAGCTACTTAACTGATCTGATACATGAGTGCGGAAAGTTTGTAGACCAAGCGTAATACAAGCAAGCCATTTGTCCTTGAATTTCATCTCCGCCTTCACCAAAAATAACAAAATAAATAAATAAATAAGAATAATAATAATCACAACTACTGATTCAATATATGTAAAGAAATACGTGTATGAAAATCGATATTAGGAGTATGTATGTTCCAGAGAGAGAATGCTAAAAGTAGGTACGCTAATGACACGAAGGCTAGCGATGCCGGCGAAATCTTCTTCCTTGAGGAGTTTAGACTGGTTAGAACCAGAACCAGAACCAGAACCGGAACCATGGCGACGGAAGTGGGAGCGATGAAGCTGAAGCCGTTGACCGAACTTCCCGGCGCGGGAAGAGTGAGCCGACCTCGAGCCGTTGTGCGAGGACTCGTCGGAAGACGGCGAGCCCGATTTCGAGTTCCCGTGGCCCATTCCAGCTTACTCCGAGCTACTGTAGCTGATTTTTCACTGGAGAAGAAGACAAATGGACAAAAAGTAGCAGGTATCAGAATGAAATCAGAAGAATATGCAGCGTTCGAAACGTATCAGAAACTAGAGGTTAATATCATTTTGATTGTATTCAACTACTCGTCAATTTCTTCAATTGTTTTTTCTTCATATCAATCAAATTCATTCAATAATATCAATACTGTCATCACATACATACTGAATAATAATACTAATAAATTGGCCGCAGCGATGAGAATTAGAAATATAATTATAACGATTACACTAAAAAATTATTATTATTCCAGAGAAAGTGTGAAGAAAGTTTTGACTTCATTAGTAGTGCGAATATGCGTAGGGACCATTCGTGCTTCCTTCCCTGTTTGTCCGGTAGCTTATCCAGGTCAGTAGGTCACTAACTTTTTGAGACTTCAATTATATCGAGTGGGAGTACTAGAGTAGTGTACTACGTGGAGAATATAAAGGGTGAACCCAACACCAAGATCCTCCGATCCACTACTTTGCCTTCAAATTTGGTGAATGAATTAAATTGTGTCATGTGTCTTAATAAATTAGAGATCAAGAATTGCACTTTAGTGTTTGTAATGAATTTAGTTCTAAATCTTATTATTGACAATTGCATTTTAGTGTTTGTAATGAATTTAGTTCTAAATCTTATTATTGACATTAGTCACATCTTCGCCCCGCGCATTGGTACAACCACATAATTATAGCCTGTCATATCGAATAATATTGAACGTAAAATTTTATAATTACTAAGCCAACTGTTCAACTAATGAATCATTATATTGTGGACTATGATTCACTTTACAATGTTAATTATTGTCAAAATGTTCATTTTTTAACAATGTATATTCATTTTTAGTATATATTGAATGTTCGTTTTTTAAAAATGTATTGTTTGTATGTTGAAGGTTCATTTTAGGTATACTTAAAAATCAACATTCACTATACTAAAATTAAACTTGTATATATGGTTCATTGCACCATGGATTATAGTCTGCAATATAAATTGTCCTGACCAACTTAGTTGATGTGATATAATAATCTCAACTATTAAAAGGTAATAAATAGAATGGTGCTTACAAAGTAAATCTAATTTATGTATAATAGTATGCAAATAGCACAAAAAAGTAAATCATGTTAAAAGATTATGTTCTGTGCAGCAGACTCAATTAGAAAAATATTTTTTTGGTGTATTTGGAATATTTTAACTATCAAACACCGTGATTAATTCTCTCGCTGAATTGTAGGCACTTCTTTAACCTAAAAATTTAGAAAAAATGACAGAAATGTGTAGGAGGGGACATGCAATTCTCAAAATGTGCGTCCCTTTTTTTTTTTTTTTGACAAACATATGTAAAAGACCTTTCCCATTTGCGTTTTATCATATTTCCGAACAAACTTTTAAAAAAAATTGCATTTCTCGCGAAACGCAAGTGAGATCGAGAAACGCAAGTGAAACTTGCATTTTAAGTTTGACCCGAAATATGATAAAACTCAAGTGGGAAAGGTCTTTTACACATTTTTGTCAAAAAAAAAAAAAAAAAAAAAAAAAAAAAAGGGAAGACGCACATTTTGAGAAATGCATGCCCCTCCAACACATTTCTGTTATTTTTTCAAAAATTTAAGATTGATCTATACTCAAAGTCTATGATTGAAGCTTAACATTTGATCATTTGATTATTAGCAAGAATTGAAAATCATGTGAGTTGTGGGCTTCATTCTCAATTACTCCGGCGATGGCCTATGGATTAGTTTAACCCAAATACCCATTTAGTGATGGCGCGGGCCTGAGAGTTTGACCCGAAAAACAAGGTTAACGGTCCAAGAGGATGTTAGAGCAACCTCAATAGTGAGCTCGCCGGCGTCTGCCTGGTTCTTCCGTTCTCCGGTCATTGTATCTTTTTCTTTCATTCTTTCCGAGCTATTAAATTCGTTTATTTTTTCATTTTTGATCAAATAGTGGAAGGAATTGTGAGAAATAAATATGCTGCTTGGGAATAGGAACTTAGATATCTGCATATTAGCCGTTCCAAAACTCCCGCAAATTGTTCGATAAAATGTCGAAATGAAAATCTGGAATTTAATTCGCCCCAAAATGCATCAAAACTTCATTTGCGGGATTGATGCCCTTACAGAACTTCAGAATTTGTTTGTCTATTGAAGTTAGTTGCTGATAAAGTTTCAGTTTTTAGTTTGATATATGCTTAGATATCGATACAATTTAGTCTTGATAATCTAATGACTGAGAGAAGGATATAAGCGGCGAACTTAGGAAGCAAAGCCACCGTGGCAAAGGTGTCATTTTTTCCGTTCCCCCAAACAAAATCTGATAGTTTTTGCTCTGCAAACCGCCGTGGGGAAAAGGAAACTGGTTTGATGATGGGGCGTAAAGTGCGGCGGTAGATTCCGCCGTTCGATAGGACCACGAACACAACAGTTTCAACCGCCATTACTTTTAGCTGATGTTAAGATAACCTAAGATGCTGTTTCGTCGCCTGGGCTATTTTTCACCTTCCCTATCCAAAACCTCACTGCTCTTCTCTGCTTTCACCCAAAACCATTCTTCTTCTTTCTCTTTCCAATCCAAAACCTTGCGCTCTCTTCCCCATATTTTCTTCAAACACGAGGCCCAATCTGCCAAATTGTGCTCCATGAACAAACCATACCATTTCTCTACAGCCTCGGCGGCTGTTGTGCAAGAGCCAAATACAACGAACCCTGGCAATAAGCTCTCCAAAAAAGCCCGCCGTGAAGCCCCGGAAAGCGTGCTTCGCTTTAAATTAGATCAGTGCTCGAAGCATGGTGACTTGGAAGAAGCTCTCCGCCTTTATCATGAAGCCAGGTTGAATGAAGTTTCATTAAATGTACACCATTATAATGTTTTGCTTTTTTTGTGTTCAAATTGTAGTTCTGGTGGTGAGGGGGAATTCGGGGATTTGGGTATTCAGAAGGGTTTTGAGATTTTTAGGCAAATGGGATTTGATAAAGTAGCTCCAAATGAGGCTACGTTCACTAGCGCTGCAAGGTTAGCTTCAGCTAAGGAAGACCCGGATTTGGCTTTTGATTTGGTGAAACAAATGAAGAATTGCGGTATTCCTCCAAAGTTGAGGTCATATGGCCCGGCCTTGTTTGGTTTCTGCAAGAAGGGAATGGCAGATAAGGCTTATGAGGTTGATGCCCATATGGTAGAATCTGGGGTGGTAGCAGAGGAGGAAGAGCTTTCTGCTCTTTTGAGGCTGAGTTCTGAGACAAAAAGGGATGAGAAAGTGTATGAAATGATGCATAGGTTAAGGGCATCTGTGAGACAGGTGTCAGAAGATACTGCTAGCATTGTCAAAGATTGGTTTAGGTCTGAAACTGCTGCAGGGGTTGGGATGGAGAACTGGAATGTGGAGAAGGTGAAGGAAGGTGTAGTAAAGGGTGGGGGTGGGTGGCATGGACACGGGTGGTTAGGGAAAGGACAATGGAAAGTGGTGAGAACTGAGATGAGTGAGACAGGAGTGTGTCATTCATGTGGGGAGAAGCTTGTAAGCATTGATATTGATCCTAGGGAGACGGAGAATTTTGCTAATTCTTTGGCAAAGTTGGCTTCTGAAAGAGAAGCCAAAAATAACTTTTTACAATTTCAGGTAAAATTTTCTTTTTTTAATTCTATGTAAAGTGCATAAACTGCATACTATATGCAGCTATGTAGACTGAGCTTATTTTCTTCTGATTTTCATAAGAGGTGTCAAATTAGATAGCTTGGTTACTTTTTTGGTTAATTTTGTGGATGCTATCTGAATATTTAATTTTATGATAAACTCTCAAACCATAGTTCTGGTCTTCAGGATATCGTGATGTTGGTTTTTTTATTCCTCACAAGAATAGTACAGTACTTATCCAAGTGTATGGCATATTTGGATGAGAAACAAAATGAAGTGGAAATAATCCCTCCATCCTATCAAATATTCTTATATTTCCATTCAAAATGGAAGGAAATATCGAGAAAAGTATGCATCCTTATCTCAACACACAATAAATTGAATCTAGGACCCATATGTACTTGCATAATGTCTGTTTGATGTTTGGGTTCTAAAAGAATTTATTTGAATAGCAGCATATCATTCTTATATATGGAATTTAATTCTATCAAAATACATCTGATATTACAAATATATTGGTTGAGGATGAGTTTGATTGCTAGAGCATATTCCCAAAATTGATATTTCTTTTCTAGTAGTTCCCAGTATTGATATTTCATGATTCAGGTTTACTACATGAAACATTATTAAACTAATATAAGAAGTACCATACATTCAGGAGTGGCTTAAGAGGAATGGTCCATTTGATGCAGTGGTAGATGGTGCAAATGTTAGCCTCCTTAATAACCGAGACTTTAGTTTTTTACAGGTAAGGAACACTTCTTTTACACCCTGTTTGTTTCTTTGTATTTCCTTGCTTTTCTATCCATTGGGATCAAGAGTTCTGCGGGATGGATAGCAGTTAGATATTTGAAAATAACTTAAAAGGAGATTAAGATTCATCTCCGAAAAAGTGTGGGTATGAGGAGCAGCATCACTCTAAACTTTGGAGGCCAGTAATACATTTTTCCAGTTAACATTTGTGCCCTTTTGCTGTAGCTCAAATCTGTTGTGAATCAATTACATCAAATGAGCAAATCAAAGCAACTGCCACTTGTTGTATTGCATAAAAATCGTATAACTGGAGGACCTGCTGTCCATCCTAAGAACAAGAAGCTGCTAGAAAGCTGGAAAAAGGCTGGTGCACTTTATGCTACTCCATTCGGTTCAAACGATGATTGGTAACATTCTTGAATTAAGCTTTATACTATATTTTAGTTCTTCAATTGATCATCTAATTCCTTGTTGATTGAATATTGGCTACATGGCATAGAGAAGTAAACAATGCCACAACCCAAAAGCACATAAATCCATGGTGAATAGAGAATATCTAAGCACATAGCTAAGTCCATGGTGAACTAAATAAATATCTTAAGTGAAACCAGCAATTAAAAAAGTCTTCTGCAGGTATTGGTTATATGCTGCTGTTAGTTGCAAGTGTTTGCTGGTGACAAATGATGAGATGAGAGATCACCTATTCCAGCTGTTAGGGACTAGCTTCTTCCCCAGATGGAAGGAAAAACATCAGGTACCTCCCCTTTAATCCATATCAATTGGATTGTATCAAAGTTTGCAGTGTGAGTTCTT